TGGTTTAAATTATGCCTCAATGTGAAAGCATACAAATAGTGATTTGATCAGAACCGTTTTTAGATCTTATCAGAGAACATTACTGATTTTTTCTTTTTTACTAATGAACATCCAATACAAGGCCTAAGAGAGACCCAGGGTAGAGGGTTAATGAATTATGTTGCTGTATGAGCGTAAGTGTAATTTATGTAGGAGAGGTAACGGTTAACTCTCGACTTGAAAAGTTTAAGATTGTAGAGATCGGGAAAACATCAACTCGGGAGTTTGTTCCACAAAGTAATGGTTATTGCGAAGAAGCTGTCCAAATGGAACTTCTTTCTTACAAATGGGATACGAAGGGAATGAGGATGCTACATCCCAGTGTACATAGCATGGCTGTTCTTAGCTACGAAGGACTGGACTGGTGGAACTAAGGAATGTAGAGAACATTTGTCATGGAAATAACAATAGAGTAGCGAAAGGCTTGCGACGTTTCGTCTGTGTGAAAAGGGGTTGTAGAGTGGAAAATAATTAATCAACTCACAAGGCTACGTATAAGCATTTGAACTCTATCAAGACTAACAAGTAAGGATGGAGCATCTCCAGCCTAAATATGGCAGCAATGTTCGATTTCTGGTCTAACCTGGCTCTTGTATAGATAAAGCATATCAGGAGGAGTTCGGTACTTACTGGAGCAGTACAAGGAACCGACCATTTTTCCGTCATCTTTAGTGATGGATCGTATATATGAGTTTCACTTAAGGTTTAGAGTGAGCCTGAGTCCCAATAGGTGTTTAATGCAAAGAGCCTCCTTGAAAACACAACTATTCATCATCATATGTGAAATTTCAGGGTCTATTCATTGAAATAAATTATTACTGCTTTTCGTTCTGGAGTGTTAACCAATATTGACAATTATACAACACGACTACAGAGGACGACTGCAATTGCCAAACTCAAAATCAACATACGGCGAAACAAAAGGACAACTGAAGAGAAGTTATCACCTCACATAGTGATATAGTGAGCCCACTCCGTCGGGCGCCCACTTGCGTTCGGGCAAGCTCACACACTAGGCATAGCTTAAATGTGGCACAAGGAAATTACGACCTAACATAAAGGATAGATTCGGAGAATATTTTTTTTTTTATCCTGCAAAGACAAAATCCTGAGAAACAGAACCAGTTGCGCACTGCCTGGAGACAAAAGTGTCCATCCACTACTACAATGATACCATTTAATTTTCCTAACGAATAAATAACATTTTCAAAAAATACGAAAAAAAATGTGTATTTCTTAGTAATTTCAGTGTACATATGATTAGCAGTCGATTATCAAATGTAAATACAGGATGTTATAATTGATTTTTTTAATTTTAATTGATTGATATTTTTTAATAGTTTACTGCACAACTTACACATTGACAGAAAGTTCAAAAGGACAATATAATATTACATACAGTTCACTATATTAAGAGCAATCATGTGTGTTCGAATCTGCTAATAATTGCTTGGGCATCTAATTCATCTAACCATTGCTTTTCAGCGGATAGCAACATGTATGATTTTAAATTGTCTTTAGACAGCGAATTTCTTAATCTTGTCAGCTGAAACAAGGCTACTGCTTTGAAGTTGTTGACCATCTCAAATTATGAACTGTCACTTTACCTAAATCCACACAGTCTTGCTGAAAACATTGGATTTCCTTAATTGACTGTTAAGCTAGTCTGTAACATAAGCTTATCTCAGTAAATATCAAGAGTAATATCTTGGCCGAACAGACAAGGAGTCATTCAGCTATTAAAACATTCGTTTTAAAGATAATGAAAACACTATTTCAGTGTCTAGTTTGCATAGGCAAGACTGTGTACTAAAACACAGCATAAACAATAAAGATAATTTACAAGCGTTCTTTGCATTAAAAGATTTGAATTGCTGCTGCCTGTTTGATAGTGACAAGAGTTTGTAATGTCTCTAATTAAATTCCTGGAACTAGTAGATAAGGTTTATCAAATTCTCCCTTTTAGACCATATTGTGTGAATTTCTTTAGTTGGATTTAGTATTTATTCAACAAATGTGAATATGGCGAACAGTTTGACAAATATTAAATGGGTGCAAAAGTTTCCAGCAAAAAATAGGTTTTTAATTCTATTCATATCTAGTTTAAAAAAAGAGAGAGAACTGGGGACTTTGTATACATTTAATATATTTTAAAAGAAAAAGTAGATTTCCTAAAAGATGATTAAGAGCGTAAGAAATTTTTGTAAGTTCAAGTTTCCGATCCAGGCTGTCTACACACTGCCATAGATTGACGACTTAAATAAAGTTGCAATAAAAGTAAGCTAAAAAAGCTTTAGATAAAAAATTGGTCAAAATTATTAATAATAATATTAAAAGAAATATTGTCCTGATACTAAACCAGTCATGCTTCTCACAGTTTCTGATATTAACTGATTAATTACACCCGGCAACAAGGCTTCTGATCGGGAGATTGTAGGTTTTGAGGAGCGTGGAACCACCTCTTAATTGCTGCTGTTCCAAGGTCCACCCTGACCCGGATTGGTAGCACCTGTTACGATCCCAGCTATGGGCAAATAGTTAACCCCCAAACAAAACAAAACACTATACAAGTATAAAAATACATTTTTATAGAAAAAATGCCAGCAATACATTTTTATATAAAATAATTACCAAAAATACATATTTATACTAAAATTACCAACAATATATTTTTATAGCAAACGGACCAACAATGCATTTTATAACAAAATAAACAACAATACATTTTACCTGTAGTTAAAGGCATAAAATTGCCTTGAAGATATATTTACTTGAAGCCATAAAATTGTGTTCAAAATATTTATATTTCGCCATTAAATAATCCATAGAGATTGAAGCAAAACCAACCAACCAACCAAAATGAAAGAACTCTTTCATGACATTAATCCATATAATATTCTAAATCTCTTAAAGAAATCAAACTTTATTCCAAAATTCAACAAAGCTACAACATAAAACACATATATCACCGCTCTAGTAATTATGTTCACACAAACATGTATATGCCCAAAAGCTAAGTATCATCTACCATGTATTCAATTGTGAAAGCAGAATAACATATCGTATTTTTATTACATAACATATATCATATTTTTATTAACCTTCCAAGAAAATTAAATTTCAGCATTAAATAACCCATAAGGAGTTGATGTGCCGTTAAACACTCAACTTAGATCTTGTTGTTTACTTGTTCCATCCATTGGATTTTCAGGATCTTTCTGTAGAACCACAGTTCTTCTGTTTCTCGTTTTCTCTCTGTAGGGAGATGATTTTCACTAACCGCCCCACGCGGTCGGGTGTGGCACAAGGTCAAGTTTATTGTGGGGAAACCAAGCTCGTAGGTTCGGCCAGAAATTCCCCGTAGACTCGTAGAGGATGGATAACATAGAGCAATCCAGCCCCACTTTCGTTTGTTTCTAACGATTTTTCCTGGTTCTCAGGAATCTTGCTTAGCTTTTGGAATGCTTCTTTTTCTAGTCTAATGCGTGTTTGGATCTCGATGTCATATTTTCCATCCTCCATTACAATGCTTCCCAGATATTTAAACCTCTGAACCAGCTATTTGCAATTTGTAACTAGAATCTTTTTTTTTTCTCACTTTCTCCTACCGCCCTGTCTAGGAGGTCCTGTAGGTTCTTTTCCGATTCGTCGATCAACACAGTATCAACTGTGTATCTTGTATTATTAAGATTACATAATAAATCCTGTTAAAGGATGTCTCTTCTCACCGGACAGTCAACCTATACAGTGAGGCGATTCTGAAAGAATTAAAAATCCTACCAGGATTCATTATTGGAGGCCACAAACTTAACAACATTAGATATGTAGATGACACAGTGTTGATAGCAGACACAGAAAAGAAACTACAAAAACTCCTACAGAAATTAGTGAAGGAAAGTGAGAAGAAAGGTTTAAATATCAACTACAAGATAACATAATACATGGTTGTTAGCAAAAGGAACAGTCGAAAATGCAAATTACAGATTGGAGATACCAAAATCAAACAAGTACAAAAATTTAAAAATCCAGGAAGTGTTTTAACAGAAGACGGAAAGTGTGATACCGAAATCCGAAGTCCCATTGGGATAGCGAAAGATGTTTTTCAAAAGCTAAGCAAAGTATTAATAAACAAAAGAATATCGTTAGAAACGAAGAGTATTGAACTGTTATGTGATATCGGTCCTCCTATATGGCAGTGAATGCTGGACAATTTCCTTAAAGATGAAGAAGCGACTTGAAGTAAAAGAAATGTGATTCTACAGAAGGATGCTGAGGATACTATGGACCGAATATATGATCAACGACGAATTTTTCGAGAAAATGGAAACAAAAAGGAAACTTATACTTAACATCAGGAAGAGACAGTTGAAATTTCAGGGACACGTAATGAGGAAAGAGGGCTTAGAAAATATGATACTCGCAGGACAGATTGAAGTCAAGAGGGACAGTGGAAAACAACGCATAACCTACTTAATGTGTTTGAGTAAATGAATGGCGGAACAAGGTTTAAGAGAAACAACAAAAGCCAAAATTTATTAAGAGCTACAAAGGATAGGAAATTGTGGAGTGCCATGATCGCCTACATCCTGAAGGAACACGGCACATAAAGAAGGGCCTCTAGACAAAAAATAGTGAATATAATAATGTTTTCTTTTTTACATTAAAGTGTTTTATTTGTTTGTTTTTGTTTAGCTGCATCTCAACCTCTTTCGGCAATTTAATGCCGAAATCTGAATATTTTGTAAGCAATTTTATTTTATTTATTTTTTTTTAGATAATAATGGTTTTGGTGATACAATTCTTACTAATTAACCCATATCTGGGGGAGAAGAGGTGGATGTATACATTTTCGAAGGGTATTTGCGAGTAAGTAAATATAACGAACCGAACTGGAATTGGAACTTTGCTCTCAGATTAACAATTCGAGGCTATCATCCATTACATCACCCGCACATTGAAGGTTACAACACCCGGTATTTCTCACTGGTCACTCATCTAGATACTGACCAGGCTCGGCATTGCTTGACTTCGATGACCGTATGAGGACCGGTGTTTCAGTATGATATGGCCGTAAGCCGTTTTATTTGTTAAGCCCAAGGATGCCCTGTTTGTATGTCCAACCAGGCCTTCACAAGACAAAAGTGATTTAAGTTCGTGTCTTTTTTTTTCTTTATTTCCAACCCGCGTTGTCGACTCATTGCTGTTGAATGACAGTCAAAGTAAAAGTGTGATAAAAGAAAGCAACTACAGATTTAAAATGAAAGGAAATGCGAGTCAAAATGAATAATTCATTTACGTTGTTGTAATTCTTTCCCGACTTGATTACTTTAAGTTTTATACATTGTAACGGCATGGGAAAACTTATAAATTTTTTGAATTGTTAAATCTTGGTAGCTCCTCAAAAGTTGACCTTTGAACTTAATGATTTGACACCATGTTTGACATTGAAATTTCGGATAGCATAACGGTTATAGGTACGAAAAATTGAATCGGTGTACCGAGTTCAAATTTTGACTGTGTTTTATTTGTTCACTTCGCAGTAATTCTCTTGGTAAAAGCACGAACCATCTTTTTCTAGCTATGGATTAAATCGCAATGCGGACTAAGCTTGCTAGCCTTGCGTGGCAACCAGTTTAGAAGAACGAAAACTTTGGATTCAAGCCACCATAAATAATAGAACAAACTGAGCTATTTATCCTTAGTGCAGCAACTAATCTAGGAGAAGGACAATTTTGGATTCAAAAGCAGTTTCACGAGAGAAAGACAATGTCAGGTTAATCACTGCTGTTATGGTTGAGGGACATATGGTCTCCCTTCGACCTTACTGGATTATGGATTTTTTGATCGTGTTATAGATATTTTTACCCAATAGAAGGAAAATTAAAATACGCTAAAATAGAAAAACCTGTCTATTTTAATATTTTTTGAAGAGAAATTTGTTTGGAGAAGTACTGGACATGGTTACATATCATAGATAATAATAATAATGATAATAATAATGTGTGTATTGTAAATAATAATAATAATGGCCGGCTACTCGTATGGCTGACCGCTCGTTTCTGAGTATGCTAGGGTGGATAGCTAATCCTCGTTGCAGACGCCTGTTAAGGCACATTTGCGTTTCTTTACAGAGCTATCCTATGATTTATACTACAACTGTGTTGATCATAGCTTATTTAAAGTTTCTGGGAGAAAATTTGGCGTCATCAACTGTTTGAGCACTGTCAGTGCACTCAAACCCTCAATCACGATGACTTATGACTTCGTGCTAGCAGAACCATCAATAGTTTCTGAATAGTTCCATCTACTCCATTTAACTCACATACAACGGCTTGGGTTCAACCCATGGTACGTTTTTTCAGGTACTTTCCAACGGTGCTGCACGCTGGGATCGACTCTCTAGGCCGATAACTTCAATATACTTCATTCATCGACCCAACACCTTCTTACGCCTGCAACTCAACGTTGAGTATAGGCCACCAAAAAGAGACATGCCTGAGTTGCTTTGAGCACCTCGACGTGGTGTAATGGTTAGCAAGCTTGTCTCGTCGGAACAATTTACAACGTAGTAGTGAATTCGATCCTCACTGGGTACCCCATACTTTAGGCCTTGTGTCACATCTAAGCTACGCTTAGAAAATCACTATAGTTGAGTTGCTTGTTAATTGCTTGTCGACGTTTCTGCAACGAGAGTATTTTTAGAAGGTGGGAGCCTTCATACCTCATTCACTTCCTTTCATATCTGAGATGTCTCCGGTGGCAATGCCTTGTTGTTTTTGTGGAGAGGGGTATCGTTTCACCCCAATTAAGGTGATAAAGTCATTAAGACGTAAGGGGTTATTGAGAGTGAAGAAAACTGGCAAAACGTTACTGAAGAAAAAGGACAATAAGAGGACGGGATTCAAGAAGTCAGAAGATGTCGATTGACGTTGTATTTAATGTTTTTAAAATTATAGGTGACAAGAAAGCGAGAAGCTGGAAGAGAGTTCCCTGGCTGAAAAGTGCGAGAGAAGAAACTATTAGAATAGAACCTACGGTTACATCTAGCCATTTCAACAGTGAGAAGATGAGATCTAGCTGTAAATCTATTAATACGCTTAAATTCATGAAGCTATGGTTTTAATGACCAATTAGCGTTGATCTCCAAACAAGTCTTCTTAATGGTTATTTATATTTTAAACTAATATACTAACAGATTACATTCCACTCAAAGAGATTTTTCAAATATTTGAACGCATTGTGTTATTTATGTTTCTCCCCAGACATTTCAGCCAAGCCATTCTCCGACCCTCATCGGGTAAACTATCCATTAGAGTAAAGAAGAAAATTCAAAACGTTCACTGTAATCCTCATAATATAAGTTATTCTAATTCAAAACGTTCACTGTAATCCTCATAATATAAGTTATTCTAATTTCGGCAACGAGTTCGGTACAGCTTATTCCACAATATTCAAATTCTTTGTTAAAAAATAATTCAAAATCGTTTCCATATCGAACAAGGAAAGCCATACTTCGTCGAAATCTAATGATCTGAATTATGGATGCGAACAGGGCCTCTGAAAAAGCAAAAGAATGGATCGTTCGGTAGATTGTAGAAACAAAGATAAATAGCAAAAAAATAAATTCAATTTTCCGAAAAACTCGAAGAATGTTAATGGTGAACCGTTTCCATGTAGGAAATTTTCAACATTCATTACACGATCAGTTATTGTTATTAACGCTTGAAATTTATTAAATATTTTTCTTAAAACAGTTTTTTTTTTTTTTTTTTTTTTTTCTCAAGTAATTAGAATTCCCACAACTGGTAACTGTTATAGCTCTTTCTAGCATTGATAGAAGTTTCCTTCCAAACTTTTTGTTGAAAGTAATATCGAAAGAGAAAATCTTGATTATGCCATGATTTTCCCTTCTAGCAAATTCGGTACAGTTTATTTAATTGTTAGAATGTTTGTTACAGTTATTTGAAATAAAAGCAAAAGACAGAAATTTAGTAGCTTAAAACATAACAAAAACAAAAATCTTAGATGTGGTGTTTTAACTAAAAGAGTTATTTTTTTATATGTTAGTATTTTTTTATCATATGATAAATATAAAAATTCCTATGTTTTGTGGGGCACGCTGTAGTTAGATGTGCTAGCCATTCGTTGCTATTCGAAGTTTTCAAGTGATATGGGTTTGCTATTTGATAAAGCTGTTTGTGGTTATGTAACACGGGTATATAAGATCTCATGACTCTCCTCAAAAGTACAAAGTCTAACGTCCACATTAACTGCTACTGAAGATTTCCTTTGCTGAAAATTTTGCATATATTTCCTATTTGCACTAATCAATCTACATTGGAATAATTAGTATATTGGACCGTAACATTTTTTGGATTTAAATATTTCACAGCACCAGGATACTAAATTGGATTAAAGCCTAGAATAATTTGAATTATTTAAAAGAGACATTGCTTTACAATTTTTTCGCCACTTTCAAAGACAGACATTAATCTTCTCCCCAAAGTGTCTTACATTTTATGATTGTTAGAAACAACACCGGATCTGACAATATATATTAATCACCTAATGCATTTATTCCCATATTAAATCATCCACAGCAGAGTTTCCGAACCTGTAAGATATCGCTCACCGGTGTTGGGTGGTACCATGATCAACTGAACAGAAATTGGTGGGCGACTGGAAATTTTGGTGGGAGATAGACGATTTTGAGTATTAAAAAGGTGTTTTAATATATGATACCCGAAAAAAATATTTAAAGAAGATATGCAAAGAACCTGTATGAAAAAAATTAAATTGGAATAACTAGGTTACATTTCTAAATAAGATATACATATCTCACAAACAATGAATACTTTGGTATTTTCTATATAGTTTTTAATAGTAAAGTTTGCTTTCCTTTGTTCTTTAATAAGTTAGTAGCAGTAGCAGCCGCCACATATGTCAGCGTTATCTGTTACCTCACTTTGGTATTTTTTTTACTATATCATAAAGTCAGTTTACAAACCAGTAACAAACAATTTTGGTATGCTTTTGAATATTTACTATACAGATGAGCTGCGGGAAAATAATTTGAATTATTTCAAACAGGTAAACATTACTTTAAAAATCTAATTATTCTAAATAAAATATCTTAATATTACAGAGTTGATTTTCAACCATACCCAGTGGAAAAACCTTGGGTTCGACCACAAGAGGTCTGGCAAAAACCACCAGGAAACATGGAAGGACTTACGTCATACAAAAAGGAATTCACGGGTAAATTTCAATTTTAATATTGATGGTTTGAAAGTATACCAATTGCTATCTACATTAGACTATACATTTTTACCCACAGACTCGTTTTACATATGTGGAATTTTGTGCAAATTAAAATCTGCATGTCAAGCGTATTTGCGTTGCAAAAAAATAGACATTACATCGGATACCGCGAAACCAATGAGAATAGCTCGCAGGACCGTATAAAGAAGACGCGGTAAGCCCCTTTTTTTCTCTTTTTTTTCTTTCTCCAGCTTTTTTCTTTCTCGGCCTGTTTTTCATTGGTTCGTCACTGTCTCCAAAAATGTAGCCTTCACAAGTAGGACAAATCTATCTGATATCGACCTGAGAAAAGGATTCATACAACTGTACATTTCATGTACAGACACTTTATACACCAACTACACTTGTACATTTTTTCCTTATTATTTGCTTGTTACAAATTATTTTCTAAGTATGTCACACTAAATGGCACAGCCATATTTACTGGTTGCATCGAGCCTCGCCTAATTTCTCTCTCTTTCTCTTTAAATCTGCTTTCTATGACGACTAGGATTAAAGGGAGCGGCAGACAATAACAGCACTTTTTACTTTCAGGCAGCATGACCATGCGTCTTCATTTGAACGTAGTTTATGGAGTTACCTTTAAAATCTTTAACTAAGAAAAGGATAATACGCACAACACATATATTTGTTCATAGAGACATGCGTATTTTGTCTAAAATAAATTTCGTTAAAGCAATGAAACCATTTTTAAAAAGTAAACTCGTATATTTTGATCTCTCCTACATTTTTCCTTAAACCTATGTTTTATTATCTTTCAACACTTGCCATTCTATCAAGCAACCAAATATTTTGTCCGTTGTTCTCTTTATTTTCGACTTTAAAAAAAAAGATAAACCTCTCAGTTCATAAGGATTATCAACATCATGAATCATACACAAATTATTTACAACCAGATAGCCTTCAAAAGAATATACTTGCATATGCAATGATTGGAGTAGAAATAGCAACTTAAATGTGAATTGTGATAGCTCGGTTATTGTACGAATTTAAACTAAGCAATAGAAGCAGCCCATAGAATGCGTACATCATTTGGAGAAGGTGAAGTTAGAGAGCATACTACTTAAAAATGGCTCGGGAGGTTTTCAATTAGTAATGAGTGACTGAAAGACGTACACCATAAAGAAAGGCTACGAAACATTGATAATGACGACTGAGGATCTGTGTTACATCGAATCTAGATAAATTGGTAACAATGAAAAGACATATGTATGGACAGATTGAGATGCACGGGTTGATATGCACGGACAGCCAGGGTTGCACATGTTGATAGTTACGGACAAACTGAGATGCACAGGTTGATATGCACGGACCAACTAGGAGCAACAGATTGATATGCACGGACAGACTGGGATGCACAGGTTGATGAATGCACTGGCTGATATGCACGCACAGGCTGTGATGCACAGGCTGATATGCACGGATAGACTGGGATTGATTGATATGTGAGCAAATTTGGATGAGAATTCAATGGAATTTATATATATATATATATATATAAAACAGAAAATATCTGTGTCTGTGTATCTGTCTGTGTGATACCTTTTCACTCGAGATCCATCCAACCAATTTTGGCCAAACTTGGCATATACAATGTAAGAGATAGGTTCTTAGCGTACAAAATCTATAATTTTAAAAAAAATCAATAATCGATAAAGCCTATCAAAAATTGATAAATTCAACTTTTTTCCTCTGATTTCGTTCAAACTTGGTATGTAGGTTACTTATATCATGACGAGCTTAACGATACCTCATTTTTATTTCTTCGCCACTGCATTTAGCGATAACCGCGAAAAACGAAAAATCGATTTCAACACAAATTTTAAACTAAAAATTCCCTGAATTTTCAAGCAACCTAATACAAACTTCACTCAGTTGTACCAACAATAAGTTGATTGTCTAACAGTCATTTAACTTAATAATTGAGTCCAATCATATAGTGAAAACCCGCGTAAATAGCAAAACATGGTGATTTTTACTGGTTTCTTTATTTTTCGTTGATCTTTCAACCAATTTTCATCAGATTTAACAATTGCTTTATAAATATATTCTGTTTTACATCCCTGATAGCTCACTAACAAATTGAATTTCAAAAACTCCTAAATAATTGTGGTCTGAAGTGGGTCTTCATGTTGCCTGTTTTACCCCTTCATGTCCTCGGCTAACTTCGATTGAATAAATACAGACTACTTGTGTTATATCAGTAACTGCATTAATTCAAAATGTTTTAATGAAAATACTTTAAAGTAACTGAAAAAATAGACTCTGTTACATCTAAACATGATGCTGTTTTTGCGGCATTCTAATTGAACGCTTTTTCTGATCGACCAGCTGGGTATGGCAGCTAGTATTAAATATATGAGACAATCTGTAAAATTCCTACATTGACGTTTCGCCGATGAACAGGTGTATTTGCAAAATATTTTTTGCCAAATAAAATTAGTTTTCTGTTAACAACGGTTTATCGGTAAAAATGGAAGTTTTCAAAACTATATTATACACAGACGCACGCACGCACGCATATATATATATATATATATATATAATCACTCATTCAGGAAGACAAAAGGTGGCGATTGACGTTGCATTAAAATTTTTAAAGATTGTAGGTGTCACGGAAGCAAGAAACCAGAAGAGTCTTCCACAGGCGAGAGGTTCGACAAAAGAAACTATTAGAATAGAACTTACGGTTGCATCTAGCTATTTTAATAGTAAAACGATGTGGCCTAGTAAACCAATTTAATAGTACACTTAAATCAACATGGTTGAGGTGTCAAAGAAAAAAGCTCATTAGATTGCCATGAAAATATTTATAGAAACGACAAAGGAGAGAAGCCATGAAACGGTAGTTGAAATGTGACTGAAGTCAAGATACTTTGTCAGGACCGATAACATTGCAGATACTTTTTTTTTAATTTTGTCAAAAATCTCGAGGTATTATAGCCGGAGAACCAGACCAGATATGGCAGCAATATTCAATAAACAGAAGAAAAGAAAATGCCTCCATTTCATAGACATATTAATCTTGTCCTCAAAGTGCACCTAGTTTTTGATTATGAGAAACACCAATGTATCTGACAGTATATATTAATCACCTAATATATTTATGCCCATATGAAATCACCCACAGTAGAGTTTCCCAATTTGGGCGATATCGACCAACGATGGCGATTTCAACTGTTGGGTGGTACGATGAGAAACTGAACAGAAAATGGTGGGCGATTGAAAATTTTGATGGGCAATAGAGGATTTTGAATATTGTGACTAAAGTCGCGATGCCATGTCAGAACCGATAACGTTACAGACCCTTTTTTTAAAATTTTGTCAAGAATCTCGGGATATAATATCAGGAGAACCAGACCAGATATGGCAGCAATATTCAATACACCGACGAATGGTAGATTTATAAATGTGCAAGATAGATTTTTTTCTTACAGTGAGTGTCACCTTTTACAAGGCCCGGAGGGGACTCGAGGTAGAGGGTTACTTTAGGAGGTCATTTGTGCGTATAGGTGAAAGATAACGATTAACCCTAGCCTTGAATAAGATTGTAGTGATCGAGGATACATCCAGTTGAGAGTCGATTCCACAGGGCAGTTGTTCGCCAGAAGAAACTGCTTGAGTGGAACTTAATTATCACTAATGGAATCTGGAGGGAATGTGGCTTGTTTGCTACTATGTAAGTGTCATGACGTGTTCTTGCCATGAAGGTTTGCCTTGACGGGACCAGAGAATGTAGTTCGTCCGAGCACTTTCCCTGGAAGTAGCGGTAGAGCAGCAGGAGGATTGTCACATACCGCCTATGGGAGAGGGTTTGAAGGGTGGAGAATAATTCGTTACACACAAGGGCTCGGAGACGCTCTTAAACTCTAAGGCTGGAGAGTGAGATCTTGGCAGCTCCTGTCCAAATATGAAAACAGTACTCCATTCTTGGCCTGATCTGGCTCTTGTAAATGTAGTGGATAGCAGGAGGTATCAGGTACTTACTGGAGCGGTACAGGACTCCGACTATTTTACCCGCATCCTTAGCAACGGATCGTATGTACGAGTTCCACTTGAGGTATGGCAGATAACTGACTGTATTGAAATATGTGCTAACTTGGTTTACCACAAAGAGTAAAATGGTGGTATTTCTTAAGAATATTTTCACTGACCAACAAAAGATAGCTATTCTAGCTTATTTAAAGAATTTGCAATAAATTTGCTTCAAGTTACGTAAATGTCACTAAAATATATCACGAGTAAAATATATTCAAGACGGATACGGACGAGCTAGAGGATATCTTCGTCTGAGGAGGGGGACATTATTTCTTTAGCCTAGGGACCTCAAAAGGTCATAATCCGGCCCTGACTATAAGAAAAGATCAGCGTCAGATTAAGCTAACACAGAGCCTGAAGTATATGAAAGGAGCCCCAAATTAAAAAAAAAATGCACATAAGTATTAAATCATAAATTATGCACTCGCATAGAGACAGAGTTTATAAAACATGTAACTATTTAACATCTTAACATTAATATTTAACAGATAAATAAACAAACCCAGAAAAAATATGAGGCAATTGGTTCTAACGAGATATTTGAGTAGATTCAACAACCTCGATATAATGTTACCTGAAATGGTGAATAATTAAAGATACAGCTCCCCTGACATGTAAACATTAACGTTGAGAGATCGTAAAATAGCGTTTTCACCTGACAGCTTGGAATCATTTAATGCGCGACCCATTTTTATGTTAGTTTTTGCTGTTTGATTATTTCAGCACTGGAAAGTATTGCAATAAAATATAAATATCACTACTGAAATGTATTAAAAAGGGCTGGGATGGTACTTAAACTTTATGAATTTACTAGATTCGCAACAAGGTCTCATCAATTTACACTTGAATTGACTAGATGTAAAGGTACGTTCTATGCTAACAGTTTCCTTTCTCGCACTTCTCGCTTGTGGAACTCTCTTCCAGCTCCATGCTTTCCGGCTAACTGTTCAAAAATTGAAATGCAATGTTAATCGTTATCTGCTGTCATCCTGATTACTCTTCTATTGTTCTCGCTCCTTCATAATGTTTTTTTTTATTCTTTCTCACCCAGTAACCCCCCCTTGCATCTTAGTGGTTTTACTGCCTTGCTTGGGTGAATTTGATTTCAAAAAATGTTGTTAATTAATACAAGCAATCGTCTTCTTCTTGTGTCGTGTTTCTTTGGAACGTGGGCGGACATGGCTCACCACAATTTCCTGTACTTTGTAGCTCTTAGTAAAGTTTTTTCTGTTTCTATCACTCCTAATTCTTGTTCTGTCAAACATTTACACAAGCGTGTTAGACAAATTATACGCTTTTTTCCTCCTGTCCCTCTTGCCTTCAATATGCCCTGTGAGTGTCAAATTTTCTAAGTCCACATTCCTCATTATGTACCCTAGAAATTACAATTCCTTTTCTGATGCTAAGTATAAGTGTCCGTATTGCTTCCATTTTCTCTACAAATTCGTCGTTGCTCACATGTTTTGTCCATGGTATTCTCAGTATCCTTCTGTATAACCACATTTCTGTTGCCTCAAGTCTCTTCTTCATCTATGAGGCAATTGTCTAGCATAACAATTTAATACTTTCTTCTTTGTTTCTAACGAAATTTTCCTGTTTCTTAATACTTTGCTTAGCTTTTAGAAGGTATAGTTTATTATTTCAATGTGTCTTCGGAATTCAGTGTCACACTTTCCATCTTCTGTTAAAACACTTCATTTTGTATTTCGCATCTTGTACTGTTTCTTTTACTGACAACCACACATTATGTCTTCTTACAATTGATGCTTAGTCCTTTCTTCTCACTTTCCTTTACAACCTACTGTAGGACTGCCTGTAGTTTCCTTTTTGTATCTGCTCTCAACACTGTGTCATCAGCATATCTAATAATGTTAAGATTGTGGCCACCAATAATTAATCATGATAAAACTTATTTCATAAAATATAAATAAAATTTTTGAAAAATTCTGAAAGTTCTCTAAATTGACAAGGTGAAGCATAAAAATATCCTCAAAGTCATTTTAGATTTTACCTCCCTTCCACAGACAGACAGTTTCTCTCCAGAGTGTCCCCACTTTATGATTGTTAGAAACACTACTGTATCTGAAAATATATATTAATTACCTAATGTATTTATGTTACTACAGTGTTTACAAGCAGCTGAGTCCCACTCTTTAATGCTGCTGCTACTGCTAAATCTAACACCATGAAGACGTTGAACCCACGATGTCCACCTTGACACTCCAGCTCTCACGGTTTTAGCAGAGCGTCAGAGCAGCCTCCAACGCAAAATTAATCTGCTAGAGGTCATGGAAGACGACGTCCTTTCAACAACTGCGTGGCCTGCCGCGATGACGACTCCAATTTGCAGATGGCGGATCGAACAGGTAGATAACTCTGGTAGGCAAAACATGACCGAGCCATGGAACACAAGGCTGAACGGTGGCGTGGAAGATGCTCAGCTGGCCAGTCCTCCCGCGGGGCTCCTCAGTGGACACAAGATCGGGCCAGTGCACCCCTCGATGGTGCGGATGGCGCAGGACTCGAAGTCATGGAAGCGAGGAACGAGGGACTTGTGGCACCGTATAGTAGCATAGAGAGGACGGCATTGTAGCTTCATGTGTCGAGAGATGTCGCGATGCCACCGCAGTGGTCTCCAGATGTCGCTCATGATATCTGAAGCCAAGCCATGTCTCCGGGGATGGGATTTTTACCCAAAGCAGAAAAAGTAATATGATAAAAGCCCTCTCCAAATCTTTTTTTTTCTTTTTTTAATTATTTCACCCCTAAGGAAAGCATTAAAGCCGGTAAGGAACAAGGAGTTACAATAAAAAAAAAAAAAGAGAAACATTATTAAGGACCGAGAACAATAAAAGAAGAGGAATTAAGAAGACAGTAGATAATCATTGATATTGCATTTAAATTTTTGAAGATTAAAGTTGGCTGAAAAGCATGGAGCCTGAAGAGAGTTCCACAAGCGAGAAGTGCGAGAGAAGAAATTGTTAGCATAGAACTTACGGTTGCATCTAAACAATTCAATTCTAAATGAGACATTGTTGTCAATCTATGTCTTTTCTATAAATTCTTTCATGGTAATTGTTCTGATGAGCTCTTCGCTATGGTACCTAGACTGTATGAATTTAAACGCAGTACTAGACTGGCGTCGAGATGTCATCAATTTACAATTGAGCTGGCTTAGATGGAACCGTAAATTTTATGCTAACAGTTTCTTTTTTTGCTTGTGGAACTCCCTTCCAGCTCCATGCTTTCCTGCCAACTTTAATCTGCAAAAATTTAAATGCAATGTCAATCGCTATCTACTGTCCTCCTAGTTACTGTTGTATTGTCGTGGGGAATGATCATATGATATCGGTACTAACGGATACATACAAAAAAAACATGGAACAATAAGTTACATAGCAATTAACAAGACAACTTACAAGGAATAGAGGCGTGTTATAGCCAAACAAAGTAAGATTAGTCCGAATATTAATCAATTTAGTATCAACTTATTAATCAACTGTTGAAGTCCTTAATCGTAGACTATTTAAGGCTATGAGGCAAGGCCATCTGGTAGATTGCTGAAGGGGTGCTAGCTACTCTACAACAGTTAATCTTTTCTCTTGCAGCCCATTATTAATGCTTCTTGTATCTTAGTGGCTTTTTCCGCCTTGCATGGAGTGAAACCGATTTTTAAAAAATGCAGATTGAAAGCAGATCTCTACTAACGCCATTTTGACTAACTTATTCTTTCCTTTTATCCAAAGGGAGACACATAACTCCACCTCTCCCCATTCGCCATGATGCAATGCCGACAGTATCTGGAAAGTTTCAAGGCGAACCAACCTATAAGAGTAAGTGCATGTTTCCTATTTTCTTGCAACGTTTTTGAGTTTTCTATTTCCTTATTATACACGAATTTGTTCAGTGTTCTCATCTTCTAATCGGCACAATATTTCGGTTATTGTACACTCCAACCTTTTTCAGGTACCTGTCATTGTTAGCAATCTTCGGAGATTTTTTGCTTTTCACTTTGGCATGCCTATGTGCATGCATAAATATATTTACCTGTTATTCGAAATTCTCAGATGACACACTGTCAAGAGTAATTTCTTTGGTAAAACACTGTCAGGAGTCATGTCTTTACTGCTAAGAGTAATTTCTTTGTTGAAATACAGTCAAGAGTAACATCTTTGGTGAAACACTGTCAAGAATAATTTCTTTAATGAAACACTGTCAAAAGTAATATCTTTGGTGAAACACTGTCAAGAGTAATTCTTTAATTAAATACTGTCAAAAATAAAACCTATGATGAAACACTGTCAAAAGTAATATCTTTGATGAACCACTGTCAAGAGTAATTTCTTTTATGAAACACTATCAAAAGTAATATCTTTGGTGAAACACTGTCAAGAGCAATTTTTTAATGAAACACTGTCAAAAGTAATATCTATGATGAAACACAGTCAAGAGTAATATCTTTGGTAAAACAGTGTCAATAATATCGATGATGAAAATATGTAAATAAATTTATTTCACTTTTAATCAAAACTGCACTATATAAGTAGATATTATGTTCGGAACTATTGCAATGCACGACTAATGCATTTTGTGTTCTTGTATCCTTTTAACCGTTGTTTGTTTATTCACACATTTTCCTCTTCTATATAAGATTAAATCCATCAATAAAACCTTCATTTTGCCTGAAGAAGTCTCTAATTCATAAGTAACCACGAATTTATCAATTGTTGTTTAAATTGTCTTTATTTAATGATACAAAATCTCTCTTACACACACACTAAAGCATTTTTCTAAATCTGCACACTACGATCTTAACCTCTTCAAGCCAAGAGTTAATCTTTATCTATCCTACTCATCGCTACAATCTTCACTTCCTGCCACCTCCTCTTATATTAATATTACACACCTCACTTCGTAACACTACACCTTGAGTGTTTCGCAAGCCTTGTATTAGGTGAACTTTAGTATAAAAAACAACCCACCCTATTTATATTTAATTTTATAGAGTTAAGCTACGTGCAAGTACTGGTAGTCTATAGTAACTGGGTAAACATTACACTACCAAATATATCATTTTTCATATATAAAACCCAGGAGTCAATTTTTAATTACAAAACAAATCTGGTTTAATACACCATCAAATACATTGCAGCGAAAAGATACTAGAAAATGTTAATGGTCATCAGTTTGTAACAGAAGTTGCGACTTGTCGCTGTTGCGGATGAAGTCTTTCAAAACTGAATAATTCTACATTTTCAAAAGAAAGGCGTTCCACACACAGACAAGTTTTATAAACACGCACACACGCACACAACGCTTCAAGGACAAACTCAAGTAGAAATTATATGCTGCAAACATCGCTATAGAAAAGTTCTACCTCGATGTTGAAAAACGAGCAAACTGGAGAACTACCTGCTACCGAGGTATAACTAACTTTGAAAAGAATCGTCTCAACCATCTGAGAAAATTAAGAACCAACACTAAATCTCGGGTTAATACATCAGCTCATATAACGATCAACCCTTCAGTATGCCCTTTGTGTGGATTTGTTTGCAAATCCCATGTAGGATTGTTGTCTCATACGAAACATAAACATAAAAACTGAAGTGAAAGACACTCATACGTCGAAAACGACGAGAGAGCAGACATCCTGGCAGACAAGGTGTTGTAAATGACTTATCAGAAACAACAGTAGAAAACCGGAATTGGTTTAACCACAAGTTTATTACCTTTTGGTACAGTGAAACATAATGTAGAATAGATACTAGGGAAGAGAATGTTTAGCCGTGAATGACTGTTTTCAGCAAAAGCTACTGCTGCTCCTCTTGGTGTAGGAGTATTTTTGTCTTTCGTCCGACGGTCGAGTCCAAACTTGTAGGGAAATATTCTCCCTCACAGCACAAGATGAGGTAACCACTGCTAAGTTTCACTCATAGAACTTCTTGCTATTCTCTAATATTTATAAATTGTCAAGATGAGATGAAAAAATCATTTCCTCTTTACTTTTATTTCAGGCGACTACAAAAAATGGGATGCTAGTCCCATGGTCAAATTTAGTCATCCATCAAGCTGGAGACCTCCAAGTCAGAAATTGGACAGTGAATCAACTTTCACACGAGATTTTCAGTACAGCTATGAGCCACCAAGAAAAAGTTTGAAGCCATCTAATACAGCCCATACATCTGACGCCCCACTTGATGACAAAACTGGTTATCGCACGGCATATATAGAATACCCGTTACCCCCAAAATTTCAAAAGGAGAAAGAGCAATACTGTCCTCCTCAAGTACCTCTTGATGGTCTGACAACATTTAAGAGAGACTTCCAGGGTCAAGGAGGTCGTCGTATGCTAAGTTGTAAGCCAGAGACCAAGGTGTTGACATCAGAAGATCCATTCCAAGATATGACAACTTTCAAAAATGATTTTAAAGCATGGCCAACTGAAAAACCTTATTTTCATCAACCAGAGCAATACATAAAACCTCCAGGGAAGCTTGAGTATGATACCACTCATAAACTAACTTATCGAGAATTCCCAATCAATCGTGCTGTAGGATTTCGACCTCCCTCTGCTCAAAAACAAGTTGGGAATTTCGATGGTAAAACCAACTACAGTCTCGACTTCAAACCATGGGAAGTTTCTCCATTGAAGGTTACCATAAAGCATCAGTATGTACCGCCAGTTGCTCCTTTTAAAGGGATTTCAACTCAAAAGGCGCATTTCGTTGAACATCCGATTAATGTCACTAAGAGTTTTAGGCCGCAAGCTACGTACCAGAGCAGCAGTGCTCCCCTGGATGATGGAACCATGTACAGAACAGAATTCACCCCTAAAGAGGTCCCGTTATGTCCTGCAGCCTTATTGGAAACTGGTGCCGCACCATTCAAGTTTGAAAAAGAGGCTGACACTGGACATCGCTTCTATAATATGTCTAACAGACATTTATCCCCCCTTGTGACCAACAGACAAGAAGTGGCAGTGGCATAGGACAGTTACAGGTCAAAAAGGAATAAATACATTTTCATATGCAATTATAATGCAGAAAAGATCCTCTGTTCTAATAAAACTTTTTTTTAAATATATGTTTGCTTTCATTTGAAGCAACAAGCAATAATGACACTGTTGCTTGAATAAAACATGATATTGGAAAAAAAGTAATTACTGTTATATTAATGTCTGGTGTTATATACACAAGTGTTGAAAAGTTCTTGGCTCAGACAAGAAGCATTTTAAAAAAAAATAAAAGTTTAGTTAGATTTTAAGAAAGTGAGTCAGGCTAGAATTTTTCATCACTTTCTCATATATATTTTTATTCCATATATATATATATATATATATATATATATATATATATATATATATATATATATATCATGGTATGAAGTAAAAGGAATTAACAAGAAAAAAAGGAAATAAAATGTTACTCTAATAATATTAACTTGAATTTTATTATTAAATAAAAAACGTTAATTATTACTAATTTTGGGTCCCAGTATTTCTTTCATCTTAATTTCAGTTGCTTTTTATCGCTACCTCTCTGACTGCCGTTCTACAGCCGTCACTACAGAATGATGCTGAGAATGCTATGGACTGAACATGTAAACAACGATGAAGTTTTAGAGAAACTGGAAACCAAAAGGACATTTAGAGTTAGCACCAGAAAGAGACAGTTGATATTTCTAGAGTGGATAATGAGGAAAGCGGGCTTGGAAATTTTAATACTAACGGGACAGATTAAAGGCAATAAGGACAGAAGAAAACAGTGCATAACCTACCTTAGGAGCTTAAGTAAATGGCTGGTAAAACAGAGTTTAATTTAATATTTAATATTAATTAGGAGTAGACGGTAGCAAGCATGTAGCAAGCATGTCTCGCTAGAACAGTTACGATTGAATAGTGAGTTCCATACATTCAACCTTGTGTTACATCTAAGTTGCGCTTAGAAAACCATTTAAGACACTTCGACGTGGTGTAATGGTTAGCGATCTTGTCTCGCTAGACTAATCACGACTAAATAGTGAGTTCAATATTCACTGGGTGTCCCATAATTACGGCCTTGTACCACATCTAAGCTACGCTTAGAAAATAATTTAAGGCTCTTCGACGTAATGTAATAGCAAGCTTGTCTCACTAGACCAATTACGACTGAATAGCGAGTTCGATCCTCACTGGGTGCCGCCATAATTTCGCCCTTTTACCACAGCTAAGCTACGCTTAGAAAATCATTTATGGCTCTTCGATGTGGTGTAAGGGTTACCAAGCTTGTCTCGCTAGACCAATTACGACTAAATAGTGATCTTCATTGGATGCCCCCATACTCTCGGCCTTGTGCCACATCTAAGATATTCTTAGAGAATCACCATAGTATTAGAAGTTATTTTTAGTTTTTAATATAAAGATTCACTCAATACAATATCCGATAAATAATACCAACCACCCTCTGGCACAACTACATCACAAACTTAACAAAATATACTGGCATTTTTATATCGTGGCTAAACTAGTATTGATATAAAAATCTCCTGGGCATAAAATGGAGGATCTATTTTCTGTTGTTATTAAGTAATAAACTGATCCCTGAAGAATTACTATATATTGAGATAACTGGAATAATAATATATTTAAAGGCTTACATGCGAAAACCTCCAAATAATAGTAATGACTTAACAAAATATGCTGGCATTTTTTACTTCATGGCTGAGCTAATGAAGTAGAATTAGATATTGTGGCTAACGCCTGTCAGTACAGATGTAAAAGAGACCCCGAGTCACATGCGGAAATGTCCACCAGCTCACGTTATATCCGTGTCTTGCCCAGTTAGCAGCAGGACAGCTTGTCATATCTAGATATGAGCCTTTCTGCAACTGGTCAAGATCCGGATCTTTGTAAGATACCTCCAGTCAATAAAAGTAATGGAAAAACCAGCAGTCAGCGAAACTCGGTGTTTTGTGAAGTCGTTCCCTTGGAATGTTTGTTCCTCAATTTGCATGCTGCTTGCCATGGTGTGATTTCTGAGGCAGTGTTGCTTCATTTCCTCTCATCTCTTTCCTTTCTCTGTCTGTTATCTCATAGTTCTTGCGAGAGCAATTGGTTTGGCACTTCCCCCAATCTCAACACACTCTTGTCGTGCATTACAACAATATCAACCATGACAGTATTTATAGCATGTATACAAATGTTTCCAACAAAACAATGGAACAAAAGCAAATATATGACTGGTCAAGATACTGTGAAATATCTATTCCATAAAATAAAAATAAGAAATAAAAGCCAGGTTAACACCTTTTGTCGACAACAGAATCCAAGCCTACGTTCAGATGCTTACATTTCTAGAACAAAGTCTTACTTAATGTCCACTTGGAAAGGGATGCTTCCCTGTAAGAGTCAGTGACCCGACACAAATGTGAAAAGAAGGTAAAGATGAATTTTAATGATGAATTTTTAAAGATGCTGGTCGGCTGCTGCTGCTGCTGCTGCAGTACATCAATTGCAGCCAATCATCTGCATGTGCCCTCTGTTATCGTAGTAGAAACTCACTAGTATTTAATAATTTATACTTTTCCTTCAAAGAAAAAAAATCAGTTTTTCCACAGATGATTACATGTATGGTCTTCTGTAGTGAAAATGGCGGAGGCCCCATCAATGAAAATTTACTTTGAATTTTTTGTAGTGCGGCCCGCCATAGTATTTCGTGTGGCCTTCTGCTCAAAAAGGATTACTTATTACTAGTTTATGCGTTATAGTACTTTTATGCTGATGGTGAGGATTTATCGGATTTCTTGTGCTTTGCCGTTGTGTTGGTCGGTAATATATGATTGAAATATTATTGGATATAAAGCAAGACTGAAATTCAGAAAAAAATAAACAAAAAATACTTATTGGTTTTTAATAAAACTTGCACCAAAAAATTGCTGCCTAAATACACCAAATTCATACCTATCAGTTTGCATATGTTTATTCTTTTTAAAAGTTAAAATTCCAGGGATCTTATTACAAAGGTTCGAATACATGTCGTAGCTGCAATTTTAAAAAGAATAATGGCCATATCACGTTGAAACCCCAGTTCTTGTATGATCAGCGAAGTTAAGCATTGTCAAGCCTGGTCAATACCTAGATGGCTGACCGCTTGGATGTGCAATGGTATAATGATAACGGCTCATAATTGGAGTTCCAATTCCAGTCAGGTTCATTATATTTACTTATGTGCAAATATCTTTAACAAAGGTATGAATCCACCTTTTCTCAACTATGGGTTAACTATTAGTAAACCATGATTGTTGCCACAAAAACTATTGCACTATTTACATTATTCAGACTATTGTCCTCATCTTTGTTGCCATATTTATCACAACGTTTCGACCGTTGTACGCTCCTGCCTTTATTTCGCTTGCTGGGATAGACTGTTCTAGTTCCACGTGCCATGTCTAATGGATGTCAGTTATCAGTTATCTCCTGTTAATTCCCCATCTCCAAGTTCTCCACCGCCTTAAAATATTTTCCGGCTTTATATAACCTGAAAAAGGTTGATAAACCATAAAAAGCAAATTAATTGTTATAGTACCTATTCTATTGTAATGGACACTCCCACAGATAATAAGTAGTAGTAGCGGTCGCCAGTTCGGCTCAGTGGTGTTGAGCTAGTCAGACGATATCGAACATTGAAGTACCAACCATCACAACTAGATTGCTACGTCATTAACTCTTATTTCCAAGTTCCTAACGTTTTGTACGTCGAACCTAATTTAGGACGACTTATTGAAATACAAGCCTCCACTGTGAAAACTACTCTACAGCATTAATCCATTCAAAAACTGGCTAAACATGATTCTCATTAGTGAAATTATTCATCTTATGCTAATGGAATCATATTTTTTTCTATCTTGTTATTTCTTTTCGTTGATAAAAGAAACTAATACGAATGCAGTGCATTTCTCACACATCTTCAACAGAAGATAAAAAATTTGAACCAGCACATAGACTGCCAACCAAGAGATAACTCATGGTTGGCAGTTTTTATTATGGCACTGACTACGAGTTATCCCGTGCCGACTATGAAGTTATTACGTGCGTAACATTTTCATCTGCCTGTGCCACCAACGAGGTTATTCGTAGTGATACTTTTAGCGTGAAAACAATCTTAAAGACTTCAGTTGAAGCTATCAATTTACTGATAATTTTATATTACCAAAGTTGACGCTTGAAATCAGTCAGTCAGTTATGTGATACACGCTTAGGCGATCATGTATCTTTCGATACATGACTGACGAGATTTTTTTTCCCGCAGTAGGTTGCCATTTCTTTCTGCGGTAGACCAGTTGCCATCCAAGGCTATAGAACCCGGTCTGTCCTGCTATTTACCCTTAACTGGGGGGGGGGGAGAAGAAGAGGATTCATACCTTTCCCAAGGGTACTAGCCCGTAATGGATTTTTGTAATTGACCTTTAGCTGTCATCATGCTAAACACTATGCATTCCCTGTTATTATTCAATCTATCTATATCTACCTATATAAAGGGTAGTTGGGGCACCCCGAGGCGGTGTAATAGCAAGCTTGTCTCACTTGACCAATTACGACTGAATAGTGAGTTCGATCCTCACTGGGTGCCCCCATAATTTCGTCCTTTTACCACAGCTAAGCTACACTTGGAAAATCATTATATAAAGGGTAGTTGTCTGTGTGTGTGTCCGGCTAAAACTAAAAAAAGACTACAATAATTACGACAAAATAAATACAAACTTGTTATGTGGGGCTGCGTGTTCTTTGGCCTGTGTATAACTTTTGTATAATAAATGATTCAAGACAACAACGAAACTCCAAATGTGAATCAACAAGTATATATCGAAACAACATGAATGAAATATACAATAATTTGTATTCAATATATAGATGAAGAGAAAAGAAGTTGCTTCCCTTTTACCTATTTTGTTTGGTATTTGATTGTTCAAACTAAATTCTCAAATAGAGAAAAATGTTCAGGAATCAATATT